TAGTATGGACCTCCGCAAGATGCTGGACAGGATGCCGATGACAACGGACGTTTTCCCCCAGAGCTTGAAGAGCATCGCGAGTCACGGTACGGCGGTCGACCAAGTCGTTTTCGTCTGCTGCAGACTCTTCTTGATTAAAATGGTGGCGTCCCGTTCAACGTCTTGTGGTCGACGTCGTCGACAGGGTCAAAACCAGTATGTGTGATGTGGCGGCAATACCCAGACTCCAACAACTTGTGGAGTTTGAAATGCCACTTCAAAAAGACTGCCTCAGACGTAGTGGACGCTTATGACCAGAGAGATCATAACGTTTCGCATCGTCATACGCCCAGCGCTTCTCGGCAATAGTCGGGGAAGCCGAAGGGCCATGGCCTGAGCTCGACCTTCGGCCCTGAGCTGCCGTGGCCACAGACTCACCTGGGTGAGAGACCACAGGGCTCGCTAGAGCGTGATAGATTATTCCATACGTCACAGGAAGACAATGTGAAGGAAGTCGGCGTTTCGCCTTGAGGTAGGCAAACTCGAACCAAAGATGGAGTTCCACGCGCACGTCCACTTCCTTGTGGCTCCGCTGTAATTTGGACAGCGAGGAAAGCATCCAGAGCCGCCACACCCATTGCTCAAAGAGCTCTTCTTCATCTGCAGCAGTTTCGCCAGGCGCGAGCACCACAGTAATCTTCCGCATCGCGGGTACAGGAGCGCCTCCTTTCCGAGCTCGAAGTCGAGCGCGGTACCTATCCATTCGGATTTCTTGAGAAACGAGCTCGGAGAGCTTTTCTTTGATCAAGCTCAGCTTATGTAGTGGCCGGGGGCCTGACTATGTAGACCCCAACGATCGAGTGATCGCATCCTTGCTTCAGTATCGGGATCCGGGTCCTGGACCAGCCGTGGATACGCGCGCACAGCCACCCTGCGAGCAGCATCCAGCTGCTGCTTCTGTGCCTCGTCGAAGCGATTGGTAATGATACCACTACCTCCGGAAGTCTAGAGGTCGGGAAACGGACACAGTATCCGCGAGGGTCAACCAGATCTCACGTCGCGCCGTTGGCGCACCTCGCACTCCTCTTCTCCCCCATCTGGGAAAGGAGTATCCGACTCGTAGTCGACTTCCTCCGAATCCTCGAAAAGAAAATTTGTCGCCCGTGGCGGGCACGGTGTGCGGCGCTCGGGTTGCCGAGTGCTCGGGATACGCTTTCCGTGAAGCCACAGACGTGCTGTCCGAAGTTGCACCGCGTGCATGAGACGAAGAAGGGCTTTGCCCGTGAGCACTTTCCGAACCAGTCAGGCTGGATGTCTTTCGTGTCATAGACATAGGGCCTATTGAGCAGAGAATGCGTAAAGAAGGTGCTAGGGACGTTGAGGTGTCTTATACACGCGATCCTCGTACGAGGCGACAGCTAAGTGCGAATTGTGGGTATTCACAATTTTGGTTGGGGAGAATGTACCCTGGGTTATACGTACTCTGGTATGACAGAGTGGGTCACACAAGATGAAGTTACCACACAATGGTGTGCTTAAACCTTAACAAGAAGTCAAAGGTGGCGGGAGTGCCAGTAGTTACGCATTTTAATTAGGTTTTACTATATAGTTAGGAATAAATACAAAAGAAATACAGAGTTTTTTTGTCTTGCGTTATGGTTTTGGTTACTCTTGAAGTCAGCTGATTGCGAACACGTATACTGGTTCTAGCATAGAACGTAAGGTCGGTGACATTCGCTTAGCTTCCTCTAAGCGAAGAGCTACGGTAGTCCCGCTGCCCTTCAAGCGTAAGTGGCGGCAATGATCATTCATTTGTGAACAGGGTGAGTAAGAACTCGTATCTCTTGCCACTGTCTTAGGCAGAAAAACTTGCTTACCGAAAGCAATACTGAGGTGACGTGTGCAAGGAATTGTACGGCAGTGAAGTCACCAAAATGTACAGTTAGTACCAAAGAAGAAGCCTAGTTGATGATCCGTCATGGGTGAGAATCTCACAGAGCATTGAGTGTGGAGAATAAGACAGCTCAAAATTGAAACTGACTTTAATTGTTTTAACTGCGGCAGAGCCGCCACTATCTAAAACCCTAGTTTTCTTAAATAATACAGTAAAACCTAGTTATCATAGTAATATGCATTTTATACTGGCAATACTGCCACGTGGTGGCTTCTTGTTTCGGTGTAGCCATACCACCGTGCGATTACATCAACTTGTGTAATCCACACCTATGTACGGTTACACCATCTTGCGCGACCTGCCCTTGCTCACAAGGGCACATGTTACCCCGTTACACTCTTCCCGATTAAAATTGTGAATATCCTTTAGTCTCTTTTAACGGACGCCTTATACGAGGATCGCGTGTCTGAGACACCTTCACGTTCATAAGAGCAAATTTAAATA